TATGAGCAAATGCCAAAATGGTTCTTCTTTATGACTTAGTAAGACTCCATTGTGAAATATACCACATTTTTCTTTATCCTTACATCTGTTGAGAGACTCCTGGCCTGGTTCCATAGCTTGGGTACTATGAATCACACTGCTATAAACATTAATGTGCCCGTATCCGGACAGTATGATAATTTTAGTTCTTTTGGATAAATACCTTGAAGTAGGATGGCAGAGTCATTTGCTGGCTTTATTTCTAGTCTTTGGAGAACCGCCATACTGATTTCCAGAGTTATACTAATTTGTTGTACTAATTTGTACTAATATGTACTAATTTGTACTAATATGTACTAATTTGCAGTCATACCAACAATGCATGAATGTACCTCTTCCACCACATCCTCATCAGCATTTATTGTTATTTGTATTCTTTTTTTTAACAAAATAGTAATTATTTATATTTTCAAAAAGAAAAAATTAACATTTGGAAGTTCTCCCCTGTAGGAAGAGGGCTAAGAAGGAGGAACAGGACTGGCTCCTATGCAGGTGGCAAGTCAGGTACAAACAGCTGAGCAATCTGTGCTGGGACTTTTTTCACACAGCATTAATAATAAAATTTCCTTTTTTCTTCTCTTCTTTTTGTTGTTTTTGTTTTGTGTGTTTTCAGATTTCTTGTGTTTTTGTTTTTTAGAAAAAAAGGGAGGGGGGAGGGAAGAGAAATAAAATCAAAGAAAAATGCCAAAAAACATTTTCCACAATATCTAAAAAACAGAGAACCATAGTTCTTGTCAAGACAGCATGAATTCTGGATGAATTTTTTTTCCAGTTCTCAACACCAATAAAGATTTTTGCAAAAGCCACTATTATCAGAACACTTATCTTCCAGATCAAATAACCTCTTCCCCTTTTGCCTTTGCTTGTCACTTTCATAAGAGGATAAAAGGATGTATTCTGTTCTTGCAAACAATAAGTGCTAAGGAGAGAGATCTCTTCTGATACTTGTGTGGTGGTGAGGAGTTTTCACAAACATCCAAGCTTCAGCACAGTTGGAAGGACTAAAATTTGCTTCTCTCAACGTAAATACTATTAGAATTCACAAACTGATTTTGAAAAATTCTGCAAAAACTCTTCTTTCCTTTTCCCTTCTCTTAAAACTAAATGTCCTTTTTTTTTTCCTTTCTTCTTTTTCCTTTTTCCTCCAGGCACTTGACAATTTGTTCTGCTCAGTCAGATGCAGGCAGGTTTCTCCGAAGTACCACGACTGGGATGTGCTCAGGGCCAGCACCTAAACTGAATCCCAGAGTCAGACTTGGTCAAGCCAAAGGGAACAGGGTGACGCAGCAACAGGGTTTTCATTAGGTTGAGTAGCCCGAGTCCTGGGCCTTTCCCTCACCCCCCGCCCTCGGCTTCCCCAAGTTATTTAGTGCTGTTTCAAAAGTCTGGGGCCATGATGCAGTCTCTTCCCCACAACAGAGTAAAGCTCCACAGATTGCGCTGTCTACCTGGTGGTCAGTGGCAGCAACAGGGGCTGCTATTTCTGGAAAATCCGGAGTCCTGCAAAAGGCAGGATCTTAGGATTGCTTCAGGCGTTTGCGCGGGGGGGGGGGGGTCCCAGGACAGGGCACGGTGCTGAAGCTAGAGAGCGATATGCTTCAGCCACCAAGTAGGGATGTGACACTACCACTGACTTCCATCCAGAGGTCTCCAATACATCTGAGGCATGATAGTTGATGAAATCCACTGCCTGAGTTTTCAACTGATCTGCGCTGTGGAGGTCAGCCAGGATGAGAATTTCTGCGGCATTCTCCACAGAGAGGTTACTGCAGAGGGCATCCTCACACATGACCTTCAAACGCTCCAGGGCATACTTGTCAGCAGCTGCCAGCAGATCATCAGCCATTTTGTCGAGATTTGGAGCCTTCCCCGTGTAAATGAAGCACATCATCTCCTTAAAAACTTCAGGCTCCACGTCATTGATTTCAACCCGATTCTTTTTGCTCTCCTCCATTTCATGTTCAGACATGGCACTAAAAACTGGAGAACGTGCTGCTAAGATAGCTCTGTGAGCCTGGAACTCTTGGCCAGCAACACACAGGCAGCAGTCTGTGAACCGGGAATTCTCCCACAGCCCTCCTAATTCATCTGCCAACCAGCATTCAGGAACCTTCACCATATTCATGGTATTCTGGCCAGAAATGTTTAAGGAATCTTGTACCACACTCACCTCACAAAAGAGGGTAAGCTTGTCATCAGGGAGAAGCCCGTTAGCCTCATCCAAAAGAAAATCTCTTCGGATGAATTTTTTGAATCCCCAGTCCTTGCCTTGCACAAACCTATAAGCTCGTTGACTCTCCATAGCTTTGGTTTCTTCTCCCTTAGCATTCAGGATGGAGAATTTGAATTTTGCCCGAACTTCACTCTTTGGACAGCTGACCAGTAACAGGTAAAGTGACAGGTAATCTTTGCTTTCTTCATCTAGCCCTTTTGAGTTTACTCGCAAACACCATTTCAGTTTATCATTGGCTCCTGATGAAAAGGTTGAACTTTTAATGACTTCACCCATTTCTTCCCGGCAAAAGCTAAAGTTATTAATGGTCCACATGTAGGAGAATTTCACTACCTTGATCTGAGTGTAGCACCAGCTCTCAGCTACAGGGCCACTCGACATTTCTGCCGGAGGTGGAGGACTTGGAACCCTTGACATCGCCAGTTTGAAGGTTAAACAAGGTTTCCAAAGTCAGGGAACAAAGATTTCTGTTCTTTCTTCACTACACTGAGCTGAAAGGGCTCCCACAGGCCAAATATGGAACATCTTGTGCATCACAAAGATTGTAATTGTTGGTAGAACACAATGAATTAAAAGCCATGAGTTCATGATGATACTGAGAGCGGCGGCGACAGCTGCTGGTCCCTGTCCCCCTGCGCTCGCCTCATACTGTCGGCAACATCTGGGACCTGCGGGACCGCCGATGCACAAATACACACACTCCGAGCGCGCACACTCACACACACACACACACCACACACACACCACACTCACACACACACACACACACACACACACACACACACACACCTTTATTTGTATTCTTGATGATTGTCATTTTAACTGGAATCATATGATGTCTCAGTGTAGTTTTCATTATAATTTCCCTGATTGCTAAGATTGTTAAACATTTTTTTCTATAATTGTTGGCTATTTTTATTTCGATTTCTTCTTTTGATAAATATCTGCTTAGTTTTTTGCCAGTTATTAATTGCAGGGTTTTTTTTTTTTTGTATGTGTGTGTCCTTTTTATATATCTTTATATATTCTGAATATTATTCTCCCATTGGTGAATAACTGTCAAAGATCTTCTTTCATTCTTACTTTGCTGTGTGGAAGCAATTTTTTTCAAATTTTATGCTATTATCTTACCAATTTTCAGTTTTGTATCTTGAGCTTTAGAAATGTTATTGAAGAAGTGGTTGGCTGTGCCAATATGTTGGGTGGTTTATGCTATGCTTTCTTCTAGAAGTTGCAAAATTTCTGATCTAATTCCTAGGTCTTTGAACCACTTTTAGTTGACTTCTGTAGAGGGTGAGAGATAGCAATCTATGCTTTTTCTTTTCATATGGTTATTTAGTTTTCCCAGCACAATTGGTTAAAAAATGTTTTCTTCAATGTATGTTTTTGGAATCTTTGTCAGGTATCATATATCTGTATCCATGTGGGTTTCTTTTGTGTCTTCTATTCTATTCTATTGTTCATCACTTCTGTTTTTATGCCAATATCACTCTTTTTTTGTTACTACAGATCTGTAGTATAATCAGAGATCAAGTATTGTGCTGTCTCCAGTATTTCTCTTCTTGCTTAAATTTGCTTCAGCTATGTTTTCATCTTTAGTTTCTCTCAGTAAGTTTTATACTTTTGTATACATTGTTTATACATATATCAGTAAATTCATCTCCAAGCATGTCATATTTTCCTTTGATAAAAATAATACTATTGACTTAAATTTTGTGTTCCTTTTTGCTCAATATGGTTATAAAGCAATGAACCTGATTTTTGTATATGACCTTGTGTCCTGCACAAGCTGGGATCATGATGATAATGGTGACTAGAAGCAATAGTGATCTTTCCTTTTCCATGTGCTAATGGAAAAATATCTAGCTGTATAATATTAAATTATTATATTACATAATATTATATTATATTATATATTATGTTTTATATTATAGTATACATCATATTATACCATATATGTTTTATATTACATTATATATTATTTATTATAATACTATATTTTATTATTAAATGTGTGCTTAGGTGTAATTTTGAGGGGTGGCATAGATATCCTGTATTTGGGGGCATTTTGAATGGTCTTAATATATTCCTATGTTCATGGGACTTTGCTGGGAGCCATTAGCCAAGTAGGTATGACAATTTCCTTGCCAGCATACCCCATGTTGCTTAGTGGAAGGACTCCTGGAAATAGAACATTTTGCAGTGACATTGCATGTAGGTGACCTTGCTCAAGGACCAGGGCAGATCCGGGTTTAAGGCGTTCGGGAATAAAGAGTTGCTGTTTGAATCTACAAGCTGTGTGGTGGCTCGTGATTTTGTGCCCAGCCAGACTGCGGCAGGACTTCTTTCTATAAATTTGATGAATTTATTCCAGGCCCATGGGCTTAGCTCTTTTAATTGGCTATTAATTGGCTATCTTTTTCAACTGGCATTTAAATTCTCTTGGAATTTTCACATATGTTAAGGGACTGTAAATCAATTAACAGTGTGAGATTACCTCTTATGAGTTAGAGTACCTATTATCAAAAAAGCAAATTACAGATGCTAGTACAGATGTGGAGAAAGGGGATTTCATTAGCATTATAGGTGGGAATACAAATTACTGAGACGTTATGGACAAAAGTACATGGATCTTCCTAAAAATATAAGAACAGAACTACTGTGCAAGCAGCAATCCCATTGCTGGGTATATATCCAGGGAAAATCAAATCATTATATCTAAGACACATCTGAACTCACATTTATTTTTGATAATTTTTTTATTGTAAAAATTTGAATTCATTAATCAGACATTATTTCCCTATGTACATGAATTACAATAAGATCAGTGGGATTGGATTCTACATCATGTAAAACCAGAAGAATGAGAAATTATACTTCATCTATGTATGATGTGTCAAAGTACATTCTACTGTCATGTAGAACTAATTACAAAAAATTTTAGAAAGTAAGAATAGGAATTTTTAAGGAGAATATGATAAAAGATTAAGAAAAAAATTAAATTCAAAAGTTAAATATTCAGCTTCATAATAAAAACGAAGGTTTGTATGAGTAAAGATACTTTTAATTTGAGTCCATTATATTTCTATGCATGCAACAAATAAAATGTCTTAGATTTCATATACTACATGTGCCTTATTGATCTATTAATAAACACTTAAACTTTGTTTTCTTATACATATATCACATTGGTTAAGATAGCTTACAAATATCTACAATGAATATCTATAATAAATATATACAATTAAATTAATAATAATAAAATAGAAAAAACATCTCTCTCTCTCTCTCTCTCTCTCTCTCTATATATATATATATATATATATATATATATATATATATATATAGTAATTACAATTTCCTTTCCTTCTAGGGACCTGTATTAATGGAGTGAAAAAGGAGAACTATATATAAAAAGCTGGGTTTGATAATAATATGAGTTCGGTTCACAATGTGAAATAGTTTACTATGCTAACCCCTGATATTATGGGTTAAAGGAGGTTGAAGACCTAACTTTTCAGTATCTGTAAATGAGACCTTATTGAAAATAAGGTCTTTTCAGGTGATCAAGTTAAAATGAGGGCATTAAAGTGTACCCTCTTCCAATATGATTAATGTTCTCCTAAAAAGGAGATTTGGGGACAGAAGGGTAAATATAAGGATACAGGGAGAACACCATCTGCAAGTCACAAAACACCTGAGGCCCCCAGAAATTAAGGGAAAGACTGTAACAAAGATTCCCTCACAATTCTTGGAACAGTGATCCTTGGAATGTTAGGTTTGCATTTTCAGCCTCCAAAACCACAAAGTGATATTTTTTCTGGTTGAAAACATGAGTTCTATGGTACCTGGTTACAATATCTCCAGGAAACTACAATATCTGAGATGACAATTTGGGAACTAGCAGTTTGAAATGCTTTTAGAGTGAAAGTAACAAACTATCTAAATGCTAGTAGTTTATTTATTTTTTTTTACTTAAAAATATTTTTAGAGGACAGTAGCAACTCAGTGCTGTCTATCAAGTCATTGAAGAATTCATGGTAAAGATACCTCAGTCTATCTCTGTTGGTCTTCTTATGGGGAAGGTCACCCCTGGTGTGGATGAGACACTAAGGATCTAGCCATTTTAGCAGAAGGAAAGGAGAAAGACATAAACAAAAGTTCCTCTATCAAATTACACGCACATATTTCCAAATGTTCATGTTTTCTCAGAAGCTGTCAGAAGGCATATGATCACTCCTTATCTGTAATTAAGGAGAACACAAAAATAAATATTATAATACTACAGTCTCTTAAAGGAAGCCAGGCCAAGGAAAAGTAGTTTAGAAATAATTTGTATATCCCACCATACTGTATACCAAATGGGCTTATACAGTGGGTGTGTCATGTTCAGCCATTCACTGAGCACCAGCCTAAGGCAACTTAGGACAGCAACATGCATTTTCTTTCATAAAGGAGAAAACATTGAATCTGGACAAGCATGTCCATGAGGTGAATAATAGCAAGCAACAAACAGCCTGTTATGGTTTAAATAAGAGGTGTCACCCAAAACTCATGTGTGAGACAGGGCAAGAATTATACAGAGGTGGAATGGTTGGAAGTGAAAGTTGTAATTTAATCAGTGGATTAATCCATTGATATGGATTAGATTACAACTCTCACAGTCCAACTACTGCACCTCTGAGTGGTAACTGCAGCCAGGTGGGGAGATGCTGGAGGAGGTGGATCACTAGGGGTGTTCCTTTGGAGCTTACATTTTGTGTCAATTGAATGGAGCCATCTCTCTGTTCCCTGCTCCCATGTCCTGAGCTGCTTTTCTCACCCATGCCTTCCAGGGTGTTGTTCTGCTGTACCTCAGACTCAGAGCTATGGAGTCAGCCATCTATGGACTGATACCCCTGAAACTGTGATCCAGTTTCCTTCTATAACTTGTTCTTATCTGGTCTTTTGGTCACAGTGACAAAGAAAATACTTGATGAAAACCTAAACCACTGAGGTTTTCAAATTCCTTTTTTGGTTTCTTGTATCCGAACTTGCATGCTTACTTGTAAATGATCCACGAAGGACATCAGAACAACAGGTGCTATTTTTTTGTACAGGTTAGGAAAGAGCAAGAATTTATTAATATTATCTATGCAGAAATACAAATGTATAGGGAGGGGGAACCTGGGAGGAATATACGAACTCTAGATAGGGCAGAGGGGTTGGAGGGGAAGGGAGGGGCATGGGGTTATAAATGATGGTGAAATGTGATGATCATTATTACCCAAAGTACATGTATGAAGACATGAATTGGTGTGAATATACTTTTTATACAACAATAGATACAGAGAATAAAAAGAATACAAATGTAAATACAAAAAAAACAAGGTATTTTTATACCAAAAAAGCATACTGTAGTCATTACACATTGATGCAATGTTATAATACCTTATTACTACAGCATTATCTTTCAATTTTTGTATTTAACTTAGTGAGAGATGTTTTAACATTTGCTTTTACTTAATGAGTAGTTTGAGTTGTTAAAAATACACTTAACAACCATCTATATATATATCTGGTACCAAGAATTTGCAGTATTTCTTTCATTGATAATGAATTAGTTTCCCTAGTTATTAAAAACAATCATTTTAAATTATAATGAAAGAAGGTCTGATTAAATATTTCAAAAAGTGCT